AAGAGAAAGACTATTTTTATTACTAAATAACTTGGAGCAAATCACTCACGGTCATTCGGCTCCAATTTAGGATTCCCTATGTAATGGATACCAGAGACAGACATAGACACTTATATACGTTTTTAAAATAAATACCCCTATAGATAACTAGCGGCCCGCTCCGGCTCCGCTCGGGTCTTTAACAAAAATTTCAGCGATATTTGACGTTGTTTTTTTTTTTTTAAATAATAGAACACTTATTGCGGAACAACTATAATAGTTAGACATATGCTGTCACGACACTTTTTGTAAATAATAATGTATTTTACGAAGTCGTAGTGCGTTATTCTATTCTATCATCAATAGTTTTCGCAGGGCACGCGATGTAAATAATATTTTAGGTTTTTTTTTTTACACTTTGGGTTACATTATTGGAGTTTTAGTACGGATCCCTAATTTTTTTCAATTATAGCCTATGTCACTCGGGAATAGTGTAGCTTCCAAGCAGTGAAATAATTTTTCAAATCGGTTCAGTAGTTTTAGAGCCTATTCAAAGCAAACAAACAAATGCTTCCTCTTTATAATATAATTATATTTTAGTATTGAAGTATAGATAAATACCCAGACAAAACGCAAACAAACCTGTTCATCGCACGAATGTTTGCCCTATGTGAGAATCGAACCCACGACCCTCGGGTCAACAGTCAGGGCTGCTAACTACTCCGCCATCATGTAATAAAGTCTTTGTTTGCACTTTTGCACCTAATATGTATTTACTTACGTTAAACAACGAATGCTATTTGTATTTGGTAATGTTACCCTATCCCTTCCATAAGCGTATGTGATAAAAAATCATTCATCAGTCCCTTCAGCAGAACGTCTGAAAATCAAACAACCTAAGGCAATACAGTAATTAAAATCAACCCAGTTTCAATACGAGGTAAACTTGTTAGTTTAGGATCTACAATTTGATAGTCAAAACGTTATAAATATTCATTGAATTCAGAAATTTTCATCACTATGTAGTAGGGCCTTGTTAGATAACTTATACTACTAATATCTATAATAAAGGTTTGATTTAGTTCCTTGCTCTCGTGATTTATACTGACTCGATTTTTTTTTTTGTTTTTTTTGTTTTTGTTGATATAATTTTTGGAACTATAGAATCCGATATCTGAGCGACTGAGGTTTTTATAGTATTTAAAAAAAAGGAAAAATACAAATCCTGCCAATTTTTGCCGTGACACAGTAATGCTTTTCGATTTCAAGGGCGGGGTAGCTGTTGTATTGAAAACTGACATTGAGAACTCATGTCTCAAGGTGAGTGGCGGCATTTACGTTTGTTGATGTCTATAGGCTCCGGTAACCGCTTAACACCAGGTTAGCCGTGAGCTCGTTCACCCGTCTTTGCAATAAAGAAGAAGAAAAATGGTATGAAACGAAATAAGAAAAGTTAATTAATTTAAGACCTAAATCAATTTGGATGAAATTAAATGAAAAGAGATGGGATGGGAAGAAATAAAGTCTTAGTATTATAAAATGGCGGTTATTTACTAAAACCTTTTCAATGGACTTTTTGAAAGAACTTGAGAAACTATCTCCAGCGGCATTGTTTCGTTTTCCCACATTTGTGCATTTTCACAGACTTTATTAAAAAGTTAACAAGCCTGTTTATTATCCATTTAAACCAGAAGAAACATAAAATAAATAAAATAAATAAATTCACAAAACTTCGCTCCTCGCGTTACCAACAAAACGTCTTGCAGGAGCTCACTCAACTGACTCAATTGACATTATTATGTACCCCAAGCAACAATCAAAACCATAGATAAGAAACCTGCATTGACATTGACGTTTTGTAAGCTTGACAACTGACAGGCTGATTGTTTTGACGAATATCGGATTATGCAATCTCATGTTTTAGGTTACGCGCATCTATATATTAATACGTGAAGCAAAAACTTTGTATCCCTTTTTACGAAAATTGCGCGGACGCAGAAGTATGGAATTTTCCACGCTTATAGAGAACTTAGAGAAGAAGTGCACAATGCTAATATTTTTTTTAAATAATGCATAAAAGATACATTAAATCAATAAAAAAAAACATTACACACACAACATACCATGTATTTGACGCACACACGCATGCATACTAGTTATTGTCAAACTTTTGTTCTTGACGTCTGTTGTCAAATTGAGAATAGATTAAATATTGTTTGTCTTTTTTAAATTATTTTTTATAGTGTAACCTTGGCGAAATTTGTGATTATAGAAGTTTAAAATACAATCATAATAGTGTACAAACTAACAATTCCAATTAATTATAGTCGAATTTCGACTACTGCGGGACCTCTAGTTTATTTAAATATAGGTTACAAACATACATATTATTTTGTTATATCTTCCGCGAATAGGCTCTAAAGTCCACTACCTTACGCGAGGCTCATAACAGTATCGTGTTTTAATATCAGAATCACATACACACATTTTTTTCCATTAATACTTTTATACGGACTAGAGTTCGCCCGATGATTAAAATTCGAAGAAAATAATAAACGCTTCAAGATTTAGATTAATTTGGTCAAAAAACAAGTTATAAAGCGGTATTTATCTTTGATTTTTTTAAAGTGTTTATTGTTTTTTTTTTTTGATAGCATTAAATATCGCTAAGCTCCTGAGCAAAAAAAATTTGATAAGCAACGAAGGGTATAGTATTAACTTTTTTATCTTTGCCTATTTAAAGAGAAGTTAAGCTTTTATTACAGCCATCCGCTACTGTAGCTCTACGTAAAGTTACATATACACAGATGCTTTGTGAATGTTTAAACTCGTAATGCTATCCACTATTCAGGTACATTGCGAGCTCTCATGGTTATGTATCACCATTCTGCCGGTTTTAACTATGCAGTAGCGATGCCAGTGTGAAGGGTGGGACTTTGTACCAAATTAAGAGCGCACATCTCTAAATTTGTGGCGGTATATACGCTGTGATGCCTCTAAATTCTGGTACTAGCTAACGCCAAGTGACTGGCGGTAGGACCTCTTGTGAGTCCGCACGGGTAGGTACCACCACCCTGCCTATTTTTGCCGTGAAGCGTAATGCGTTTCCGTTTGAAGGGTGGGGCAGCCGTTGTAACTATACTGAGACCTCAGAACTTATATCTCAAGGTGGGTGGCGCATTTACGTTGTAGATGTCTATGAGCTCCAGTGACCACTTAACACCAGGTGTGCTGTGAGCTCGTCCAACCATCAAAGCAATAAAAAAAGAGCAATGATCATCTCATCCAGTCCACTAAAATACAGGGGATCATGCTTTGCTATAAACAAACAATCAATACCTGTAAAATGTTGAATTCAGATATAATATACTAATAATTCGTCACCTAATGTTTTCGAGTGAAGCACCAAGAACTACTTCCATCATGGGGCCTGTGCAATTAAATGAAGGCCACGAAATGTAGATATTTGTCTAATTACTGACAGGAGCACGTATCGCGAGCTGTATGGGCTTATTATGTCGGAGTGGAGACCGTGTTATCACGCTCGTGGCTTGCCGAGAAAATATTACCCACTAAGTCTCTCGCCGAATCTTCTCAGTGGGTCGCGAGTCCGATTAGATGGTAGATTCAGCGACGCACTGCCCTTGCTAGGGCTAGTGTTAGGAAATTACCAGGTGGTAGGACCTCTTGTGTGTCCGCACGAGTAGGTACTATTTCTGCCGTGAAGCAGTAATGCGCTTCGGTTTGAAGTGTGAGGTAGCCGTTGTAACTATACTTGAGACCTTAGAACTTATATCTCAAGGTGGGTGGCGCATTTACATTGTAGATGTCTATGAGCTCCAGTAACCACTTAACACCAGGTGGGCTATGAGCTCGTCACCCATCTAAGCAATAAATAAAAAATTGTAGTCAAGTGCTAATTCAAAATTGTTATCAGTTAAATTCTATATTCAGAAATCTAGAATCAGTATAAACACACTATCTTCACAGTATTTTCTTCGGTTTTCGGTGAGTATTGGACATAATTAAAATTATAATACTTTTACGGGTTAATGTCACGTTTTTTTCTGTTGTAATTATATCATTACCAAAGCTTTGAATACTCAACAGTTCTCATGATCATAAACGACTGACAATATCGCAATATCTTTTGTTAAATATGAATCCATCGCGAATTGTTCAAGATAAAATTTATATCATAACTGAATAGAAAAATTAAGGTTTTATTAAAACTAAAAGTAGCAATTGTAGTTGTAACTAAAACACATTTCGGTCAAAACAACGACGTAAATAAAAAAAAAAGTCCAAATGGAAAAATCAAGTTTTGACTAACAGCATTATAATGTATAGTTGTAAATTAATAAGCTTATGGTTTTAACTCATATTGTAATACGACATAAAATCATTTCCACCGAATTAATTAGCTAATCATCAATTAATAAAAATATTATTAAATTAATTAAAGCAAAATAATTAAATAATTTCGCATTCGATTATATTATAATTTGCTTGTCCCACAAGGTTCCATTGATAGCAAATCAATTCTAGACCTGAAATTTATTCAATCAAAACAAATTTTGGTCACTTTATGAATTAATTTTCTGAAGTGAATTACTATTGCACTACAAGTCATTACGAAATAAATGTTTTCTAAAAAAAACTTCGAAAGAAATTTACTAAAACGGCAAGTAATCGTTTATGGGGAAATTCTTTTAAACAACTATTATTGTTAGTATACATAATTATATTATCGAATTCAAATCTTGCTTTTAACAAACAACCTTAGAAACAACACACAAAATAAACCCAATATAGAACACAAATCAAAATCTCTGCTGTTCACGAAAATATCGAATACGGAACAGTTAGTATTAGCGTGTTTACTATTTCACAATGACGCATAGTTATCAAAAACAACCTATCTGAAATCACGGTAATTTCCACTATGCGCCAATGATTAAATGTAACGACATAAAAAAACACACACACACACAGCACGCTCAAAGTAAACGAGAACTTACCATTTTTCTGACATCAAAGAGTCCGTCGTACGATCCTCCAGAACACACAACACATCATTTGACGTCACTCATACGGAAATCACAGCATTTCATACAAAAAGCACATACACCGCCAAGAACTGTGTTGATCGGACTCGCGGACCGCTACGTAGACACTCTACGGAGTCCGCTACGAAACTGCCGCTACGGCGCCCGAGGGCGGCCGACGGTCGGCGGAAACAGCCGAACGGCGCTCGGGAGCCGGGCGAATTTCGCTCAGTCTTTCATATTTTATATCGGTCGGGGAGAAGCGGAATTACGGGGTTTTCTCGTGTAGGTTTTATAGCGTAACGGGACCGGGTGGCATTCTATTTTTGAAAAGTATTTTTTAAGTTGTCAGCGCAAAGCACCAGGCTTTGGAAGTTTTCAGCTTTCTTCGAGCCACAGGTTTTATATAGAGATGGGACACCTATTTTAAATTAGCGTTTTTTTCTATTATTCGGTAGACAATAAACGGTCTTAACATAAATTGATTGCTAACTTAAATCGGCCTCAAACAATTTCCACATAACGTAAGCACAAAACTAAGCTACAGCTAAGCTTAGTAATAGCTGTAACAGTGCATCACGCTTAAGCGCACAATAACCATTTACTGGGCTTTAGGTTTAATGCTAATTTATAAATTTCACACAGATTATTAATAAAACTAAATATGGATTTCGTTTAATTTCAGTAAAACATTTTAATACAAGTTATTTTTAAACCAAAAAATGTCAATAAATTCATTTACGTTCATCAGCTATCCTTTTGATCCGGGAATAATTTTAAGGCAGTTTTTTATCGGGTACAAATTGTAATTCGATCCGTAAACAAGGCAATTTAAAACATGGGATTGGGCCGCAGAACCGGATAACGCCGAGCCCACTTGCTAGCTACCTTTTTCCGCCACTCACAAATCACGCATTACAGTTTGAAGTATTGCAGTTATATGATCAAATTTCGACTTACGTCCCAAAGTAGGAAGGGGTATTCAAGTTGTTATAATATGCCAAATGGTCTACAGTAACAATTAAGCAACAAATAGACTGAACTAATACACATAGTTTTTTTTTTTTTTTTTAAAAACAGTACATTCTCATAAAAAAAAAAAAAAACGTAGTATATTATATGAGTTCAAAGGCAATACACACAGTGCATGTCTGCAATATACTTATAGACACCAAACATACAAAAAAAATGTGTTGAAGCTAAAACGTCGGGGAGTTTCGATACAGATTTTAAAATTATCTGCCAAACTCCTTGACCATTGCTTACTATCAAATCCAGTGCTCGTCAACCTATTCAATCCATTGTGTATATAAAAGATGTCTGTCTAAAACCTAAGGAACATTGAATTGAATTTAAAATATTTCGTGTAAAAGAAAAATTTGATTAAATTTTCTCAAAGAGAAACCTTATATTGAATAAAAGCCAATAAGCAATGACCAGATGTGGGGTATATTTCTTCTTCTTCTTCTCAGTCGTGTCACTCTTGACAGAGTGGTCGTGATCGTCATGTAGTGTTGGAAGGGGCAGACTTGATGCGTCTCACGATGTTGCGCCATCTCTCCCTGCTCGAGGCCATTCTACTGCACTCATTTAGGGGACCTCCCACTGCAGTTTTAATTTGGTCGGTCCATCGCATTGGTGGCCTCCCGCGCGGTCTTGTACCATCAACGCTTCCCTGTACAACGAGGCGTTCTATGGACCGGTCATCTCGTCGCGAAACGTGTCCGAAGAAATTCACCATTCGAGACTGTACTATACCAAATAGACGCTGCTTGATGCCGAGTTCCTGAAGTATCGAGACATTTGTACGAAAGTCGGTCCACGAAACTCCAAGCATTCTTCTCCAGCACCACATTTCCAGAGCGTCTATTTTCTTCCTTTTCAAGTCTCGCACGGTCCACGTCTCAGCAGCGTATAGAAATATAGAGAATATTAGTGTTCTAACGAGCCTGATCTTTGTGGTTTTGGTTATGTTTTTATTTCTCCATACTTTCCTCAGCCCGTCCATCGCCGACCTCGTGACAGCCATGCGCCTTCTGATTTCGTCCATGCATCCGCCATTATTTGAGATTAACGCCCCAAGGTATATGTAGGACTGGACCACGTCACAACCCGCTATTTGAGTCACGTCCGGCGAGTTATTCATAGCGCGATCGACAATCATCACCTTGGTCTTACTGCGGTTAATCTTTAATCCAAACTCAAGGCTCACACGTTCCATCCTCGACAGTAACTCCCCCAAGCATTGCGCATCAGTTGCAAACAAAGTGGTATCATCCGCGTATCGCAAGTTTGCAATCCTATACCCCCCAATTGCTACACCATCTGTCCAGTTCTCCAAAGTGATGCGCATTATGATCTCTGTGTACGCATTGAATAAGAGCGGCGATACAATGCAACCTTGGCGAACCCCAGCACTTGGATGGAAGTTATCAGAGAGAACGTCATCCGCGCGCACCGAGGCCGTACCATTCTCATATAAGCGTCTCAGTAGGTGCACAAGATGTTTCGGTGTCCCCAGATCCAGTAAGGTCTTCCACAAAACAGGCCATTTCACCGAGTCAAACGCTTTGGAGAAGTCAACAAAACAAATGTATGTCGGCCTGTTGAATTCTCTTGCTTTCTCAATTATCTGACGTACGATGAAAATTTGTTCCCGAGTGCCTTTCCCCCTCACGAAACCGGCCTGTTCCGGAGCAATCTCTTTGGACAGATAGGTTTTTAATCGCTCATTCAGAATATGTAACATAATTTTGCTAGAATGTGATGTAAGAGCAATTAGACGATAGTTGTTACATTTCTTCGTAGAGCCCTTTTTATGCAGGGGAGTAAACACGGTATGTGTCCATTCCGACGGCCAAACTCCCGTCTGCCATACTCTGTTACATATCTTATGAAATATGTGGTCACCGCGTTCTCCTAAGGCTTTTATTGTTTCAATAGGAATTGCATCTCTACCAGTCGCTTTCCTGTTTTTGAGGTGTTTTATAGCAGCCCTAACCTCAGACAGGAGAATGCTTGGCTCCAAGTCCTCATCGTTTGGGTCTGTACTTGTAAACTGCCGTGACTGTGGATCCTGGAATAATGATTGACAGTAACTCTTCCATGTTTCAGAGATTTGATCCAACTCTGTTATCAGTTCGTTTTTATCATTTACAATAGCCCAGGTCTTAGATGGCAGTGATTTGGTAATGAACCGTATTTTGTGGTAGAGATCTCTAGATTCATGCTTCATAGCATGTTTTTCGACCTCTTCACAAATGTTACGAAGATGAGAGTTATGATCTCGTCTGCAGCTGGCCTGAATATTGGCAGACAATACATTCAGTTTGTTCGTGTCTATGCCTTGAGCTTTCTTTCGACGTCTCTCTTCAATTAGGGCGAGCGTACCATCGGTCATCCAGTGTTGGCGTTTGCGCATTTCCGATATTGGTTTGGACTCTATTACTGCATTTTGAATGAGGTGTTTAGCCTTGCTCCACAACATTTCCGGTGTAGCCTCATTGTGATTAACGTCAGTCCACTCTGTCCATTTTCGTTCGAACGCCGCAGTAAACTTTGCCCTATCTGTTACTTCGATCCTCCTTTGCGCTCTAGGAGATCGGGCAGCCTTGAGCTTCAGTCGAATTTTTGCGACCAGAAGTTCGTGATCCGAACCACAACAGGCCCCAGGTAGTGTGTGGGCGTTAAGAACAGATGTGCGCCAACGAGATCTAATTAGTATATAATCGATCTGATTACGGTGCTTTCCTCCAGGTGATGTCCAGGTGTACAGTCTACGAGGGTGGTGCTGAAATAAGCTGTTCGCCACGGTCAGGCCATTCTCATTTGCGAACCGCATCAATCTTTCACCTCTTTCGTTTCGCAATCCAAGCCCGAATTTCCCTACACAGTTGTTATACAAATTGGAGTTAGCTCCAATTTTCGAATTGAAATCACCCATTATGACAAGCAGCTCTCTGTTGGGGACTTTCGCAATCACTATCTGCAATTCTCTATAAAAATTCTCCAAAACTTCGGGTAGTGCAGTGCTAGTAGGGGCATATACCTGTATAAGGTTTAGGTTTACAGGCGACGCTTTCAGTTTCATAGATATGATGCGGTCGCTAACTGGCTCGTATCCTATTACACAATTTTTCCTATGCCTTGGAACAAGAATTGCCACCCCGTTCTGACTATCATTGTCATTTCCAGAAAAGTATACAGCATGGTTTTCTGTGAAGAAATGTCCGCTGTTTCTCCAGTGTGTTTCGCTTAGTCCGCATATACACAAATCATACCTAGTCACCTCCCCTTCCACAATGTCAATCTTACCGGGTTTCAGCAAACCACGCACGTTCCATGTTCCTATCTTCTGAATTTTTCGGAGTTTGACAGGTAAGGCCGCAGAGTTTCCAGTAACATTATTTCCATGCGGAGCCTGGTCTCCTACTCCGACATGGCCGGTAGCCCATTTCCCACCGCATGCCCCGGAAGCGATGCAGCGCCGGTCGCCAGGCGGTTCGCATGGCAATCGTGGTTCCATAATGTTTACTTCCATGACGATTTTCTTGGGAAAGTAGTTGCAGTGGTTTCCCCTTGCCTTCTGCACCAGACTTTTTGAGGTTATTTGAACCCCAAGGCCTCTGAAGCCTCTTCTGACCACTGGCCAGGATTATGGTTATACCGCCACTACTCGGTCGCCATTGCCTCGTCCGTTATCTAGCAGGAGGACCGCGGTAACACGAAGATACCGCCGCGGATGATGAGTTATCCGCGCGTGCAGGTGAGGTTGACAATTGGGGCCGGAAAGATTTTAAGTCCGCTCTCCCCCTTCCCTCCCTATATATTTATTAAAATATATATATATTAAAATAAATTTATTAAGGCATATTTTAAAATAACGGTAAATGGAGAATTTAACCTCACATAACGTAGTGGAAGAAGTGGAATTTACATCATCACTTGTGGGTAGTAACTTAACTATGCCCCTGTCATCACCGATGTCAATAACTGAAAGTTGAAATCTTATATTGTCATGCTTTTTTTTTATTGCTCTTGTAGGCAAGCGAGCATACGGCCCACCTGATGGTGAGTGGTTACCGTCGCCCATGGACTTCAGCAATG